CCTCTTGCTTCCAGGCAGGTCCTGCATCCACTCCTGCTGCACAGAGGGCTCCCACCTGCCTTGGTCTGTTTCACAGGTGCTCCCCTAACTCTCTCTGCCTCCACTGCCTTACCTGGGTGGAGCTGAGGCTGCCCTGACCAAGAACAGCACCACCCACCTGTGCCCCCAAGACCAGGAAGTTAGGAGGAATCACGCAACAGGGTCAGTAACTCTCCCACTTCCCCAATCAGTCTGAACTGATGGCAGGAGATACTGATGCTTGCTTTACTCATCCTCATTCCCTGTTCATTATTCTTCATTAATTAAATCCAATCTCCCCAGCAGTCACTTCACCCAAGAAGCAGGCTGACCTCTACTCTTCATAATCAGGAAACCACAAAGCACTCTCCATCCCCTCCCTGATATCACCCTTCAGCGCTACATCATCACATGTGGGTTCTAACTCTGCAGGCAGGTGTCCCCAACAGGGTCAGCCCCTGAACACTGGCCCCAGATATCCCCCATCTCTTCCCAGCCCTTTCTGTATTGCTGTGAATCTGTCCCTCACTGAGAAATGACAGGGAGATGTGGGGGAGGAGGGGAGATTTCTTTGTGCTGTGTCAAGGCATCAAGACAGACCTCTCCTTCTCTCCTGAGCCTCACACTCTATCCCTTCCCAGACACTTGAAATAAAACGCAGACCAGAAAGTCTATTTAAGAGTCAGGACAATTACTTTTTCTAGACAAGTTTATCTTCCTTCTCAGGGCTCAGCCATGACTGTGGGTGACCAAACAACTGTTCACAAAGGGCAGTGATCTCTTCAATGCCACTTTATGAATTCACACTTTGCCACTTGCAGAGGTGGAAAAAGGCACCTCAAACCACCATCCAATAGTTATTCCTGGCCTTTACTCCTCACACCCATCTGGACACTTGGAGAGTGTGGAGGGCACCCAGGGTGCATGGTGGCAGTGGAGGCCTTGGGAAAACTGGCCAGAAAGCCAAGGAATGCACCTCAGGTGACTAAATTTTTTTACAGTTCTGCACTTGCTGGAGAATGACCCCAAAAGACAAGACCAATTTGTTGACTATCAACTGATTTGGCTGAGCCATGGACATGAAGCAAATGAGCATTGCCTTTACCTATGACATGCATGAGGATTCTGAGACCTACCTGCATCAGGTGAGCTCCACACCCAGAGGGACACCCACTCTCCCACCTCCTTACTTTCTGTATCTTTTCATACTTTACACCCTCATCCCTCCCTCTGGGAGTCTTCCCTCTTTGGGGTCTTCTAGTCCTGCCCTCTGTCTCCTTCCAGGTGGCACAGGGCTTGGTCATCATGTTTGTGTTAGGTGACAATGATGCCAGGATTTTCAGTATGGGCAGCACTGCTTTGAGGTCAGTGTTAGGAGCTGCCTGATGAGACAGACGTCTCCACCACAGTGCGTGCCCATCTCATGAAACCCTTTAGGTCCTCCTAGTTCCTTAATATGTTTGTCTTCAATCCTGTCATGTAGGTCATGGGCACCTGATGCATAATGGACACTTGGTTGGTTCATGCACCCTGGTCTTTGATGCTGTGTTGGGATGTTTTTCTGACCTTTATGTGGGGTCTGTTTTCTTTCATCATATTACATCTCTTCCCCCACTCCCAACTCCATCTTCTGAACCCATACAGTACACCAGCCTCTGCAGGTGTGCCATGTGTTCCTGCCTCATTTCTTCCTTTTCATGCCTTATTCTCACCATGCCACATTTTCCCCTCAGTTGAACAGACATAGTAGGGGACTCACCCATTCTGGAATGTGACTGCCCTTCCAGAGGGGACAGCAGTTTGGGGATGAAGGAGACCCTACTGACCCCATGGCAACATCCTCTTCCCCGACACCCTGGCTTCCGTCTTCTGCATCAGCACCACTCCTGAACCCCCATTCCTGATTGTCAGAATTTTCTCATAACTAAAAATGAAACATAAATGCATCTGCAGTATGTGTGGGTGCTCTCTCCCTTTATTGTATTTGGAGTGAGTTATTTTAGGGCATGGTCCAGGGTAAATTCCTGTAAGGCCTGGGTGCCCTGCTGTGAGGTCAAAGCGGGATGGGACTAAAACTGCAGAGCCCTGGCTCCCCCGCTACTTGCCAATTGCTGGCCCTTTGTGGGGGTCTCTTCTGCTTTCTCTGGCCTGGGAGACGCTGGGGTGTTTCTGATCCTGGGGCTCCTGGGGGGCAGTGCACATTAGCTCCAGGGATGGAGGGTGCTGTGGACACTGGTGGGAAGCTTGGGTGTCTCCTCCCAGGCTCTCTCCTACCAGACTCTCTCAGTGCCTCCTCATTTGTTTCTTTAGCTTTTGGATCTTGAGCACCAGGCCCTGGGCCGCCACCCACTCGTTCCCTTCCAGGAAGACCTGGTCCAGCTCCAGCTGTTGCTCAAGCAACTCCTCAGCTTGGGCCAGCTCAGCTGTGTCTGGGGCTCAGGGCCCTGGTGAGAGGGAGTGGGGGAGGAGCATCAGCCAGGGCAGGGGGCTGAGGCCCTTGGAACCTGTAATGCAAGGTCTCGTGGTAAGTGAGGAATTCTACCTTCCTTTCTCTTTTTCCAGCCCATTAGCTTAAGTCCACCTGTACTGAGAATCCCAGGGAGCAAACTGTCTTGGGCATAGGCCTCTGGGGGGCAGATACAGATCCCTGGCTCAGGAGCTGTATCTGGATGCTTTGAACGAAGACATGAGGTCACTGGAAAGAGAGGACCAACTGTACCTCCCCACTGAGAAATAATTAACTGTTAGATGAGGGGGAGTTCCTGTTCAAGGACTCTGGACTGTGCTGCTCTGGGCCGGGGGAGGGCTGGCATCTCCTCTGCTTCCTCCTCTGCAGAATCTGACTCCAGTCAGGGGAGGTTCTTTGCTTTTAATGGCTCATGTGATTTGATTGGGCCCACACAGATAGTCCAGGATAGTCTCCCTATTTTAAGGTACTTAATCTTCATTACATGAGTAATGTACCTTTTGCCATGCAATGCAACCTGTTCACAGCTTCCAAGGATTAAGACTGGACACCTTTGGGGACCATTACTCAGCCCAGCACATCTGCGTATGTTGAAGTCACCGAGTCAAGGAGACAGCCCTGCTGGAGAGGGTGACAGTGAAGCAGCAGCTACAATCATCAGGATTGAGAGGAATGGTCTGGGGCCTACAGGGAATGGTTACAATGAGGAAATGGGGGCCTAATCTGATGACAGCTTAGGGGTTTTGGGGAGGCGGAAGGCAGTAAGGTCTGAGAACCACAGTGAGGAGCAAGAACAAGAACCCCACCTCACCTCTGAACCCAGGGGTACAAGTCCCTGGGGAAACTCCCCGATGTGGGAGGACTTCGGAGGGGGTCATGTCCTCAGGGAGACTCAGGTTGCTGCTGGGGCTGGGAGGGGCAGGAATATCCTGAGAGAAGGTGTGGAGGTTTTGCTGATTGTGGACTGAGAATGCCATGGGGTACACTGGAAAGATTTCTGTGGCTGGGGAGGTGGGGGAGACAGAATAGGGGTGTGCAGAGCCTTGTGGGGATGTGAGTACAGGGTATGTGGGGGACCCAGTGTGACTGACACAGACAGGGACATGACAGGAGGAGCTCGGTCCTGGTGGACTCGAGGCAGACGGTGGTGCTGAGGCTGTGGGAGACGAGGGAGGAGGAGCAGGGGTGGCTCTCAGCTGGGCTCTGTCCATGGAGATGAGGACAGTGAGGTGGTTGGGTCTTAGTGCTATGGGAGCTTTTCTTGACCTCCTGATGACTGGATGGAGTGTCTGATGGAGGAGCAGGCTTAGAAGATTCACTGGTGACCCTGAGGGAGGGGATGTGCTCCCTCCAGGTCTCAGGTCTGCCCTGACACCTCTCTTTGTGGCTTAGGGCTCCCTACTGTAAATTATTGGTGGTTAGTCCATTTTGGAGTCCATAACTTAAAGCAGAAACTCAGATGGTTGAAACGTCACTTTCATGAAGGGTTGTTAGTAGTGTACCATTTAGATTGTCTTGCAAAAGTCTCATTTGTTTTGTTTTGTTTTTTCTAAATGACTGCCAATGTTGTTTTAAATTTACAAATGTAGTTAGTTGGTTGTGGGTTGGTTAACCTTATCTGTAACAACAGTAGTTTGGGTGTCTTATATTCTAATAATTAAGACTTTACGCTGTGTACACATTGCAATTCAAGTATGAGTCATGCACAACGCTAGCACTAAGAGACAGGACGGACAGCCCCTCTCCTAAAATTTTGCAAAAGTTCTGGTTTCTTTCTCCACTCAGTGGGTACAAGTCAGCTCATGATGAACATGAGGTCTTTGTCCTCATTTAAAGGTGCTTCGGAAGAATCACTGCCCCCTAGGAAGGCCTCCTTGTCTTGGTCCAGGACCCCTACCCCATGGCAGAGGCCATCTTCCCTCCCAGTGCACAGCGATGTCCCAGATAACAAACTGGTTAGCTGCTGTCCTCTCTTGGGCAGTTTTGTCTTCTAAAACATGGGTTTTTATCAGAGAATCTTCCTGTTCCCAGATGATCAAAACTGGGGCCATCCACTTCCTTCTGAGCCACCTCTGCCCGCGGGCTCACGGCTGTGTCCTCCAGTCACAACAGAAAACCCCTTCAGAACACCCTTCAGGAAGGCGGCATCTCCTCACAGGCTCACACATGCTTGGTGTGTGCACAGAGCTTTTGCTCTCGTTCAGGAGGTGTGTGGGGAGGCTCACTAGTCCAACAGAGCTTGGTACCAGTGTCATATGCCAGGAGCCAAGGTTACAAGGGATACAATGTTCCCAGACCTACCAGAGAAGGCAAACCCCTACAGCATGCAGGGCTAGACAGAGACCAGAAACAAGTTCATTCTAGGCCGCAAGAAGAGGGAAAGGGAAATTGTAGACATACATCTGAGACACTGCAGATTTGGTTTCAGACCATAGACTATGGCAACAAAGCAAGCCACACAAACTTTGTTTTTCCAGTGAATATAAAAATTATATTTATACTCTACTGTAGCCTACTAAATGTATAATAACATTATGTGTAAAAAAACTATGCAGATACATTAATTTAAAATTACTCTATTGCTGAAAAATGCTAACGATCGTCTGAGGCTTCAGCTCATCTTAATCTTTTTGCTGGGGGAGGGTCTTGCCTCAATGTTGATGACCGCTGGCTGATCAGGAGGGTGGTTCCTAGAGGCTTCTGTGACAATTTCTTAAAATAAGACAATGAAGTTTGTGGCATGGATTACAAAGCGGGAATCAGTACTTCAATAAGGTCAATATGAGTTTTCGAGTTAAGTGAACCTGAATATGAGCCCTCCAGGCCTTTCCACCAGTTAGCTATAGAGCCTTGAGTACATCTGAGCCACAGCTGGCACAAGCAGACACTTGGCCAGTGGGTGAGTGCTGAATGAATTTCCTCATCCGCAAACCAGTGATATAATTCCTTCCTCGCAGAAGAATAAATGAAAAAAGACACAGTGTCAAGAAAAACAGACACGACCTGTGGAAGGCTGGTCACCAGTGCTCTAAAGCAAGTTCTGCCTAAACTGGTAGAAACATTTTTCACATTAGGAATAGGAGTTTTTCAAGATCCTGTCTGAGGCCAGGTTGAGAGCAGAGCAGGAGTAGGGTTCTGGGCAGGGCCAGGCACTGAAGTGAAGACAGGCCTGGAGAGAGCCGGCTCCTGGTGGCTGCTCAGTGGCTCAAACAGCTCCTTGCCTCACCTGCCACTGCCTCCTTCTCCCTTGGCTCTGGCTGTGCTGTTTCCTTCCCCTCCTGCCCTCCTGGTCCCTGGGACCCCACGGCTCCTAAACTTGCTACTCCCAGAGCCCAAAGGCAAGCATGGAAGAGCAAACAGCTTCAGGGGCAGTGGGAAGATAAGGCCAGCTCCCATGTCACTGCAAGGGTGCGAGTGGAGGAGGTGAAGGGGGTCAGCACAGGAGTGGGGGAAGCCTCTCAATCCCACCCTTCACCACCCTCACCCCTGCAGCGTTTTGCCTATTTCCAGCTCTCAGCTCCTTCCCACCCTAGCCCAGCCCAGACCTCGTCCCCTTCAGAGCAGCACAGTCCAGAGATTTTCTTGAACAGGAATAACCCCTCATCGAACAGTTAATTATTTCTTAGTGGGGAGGGACAGTCAGTCATCTTTTTCCAGTGACCCCATATCCTTGTTGAAGGCGTCCAGTTACAATCCTGATCCAGCGATCTCTACCTGCCCTGCAGAGGCCTATGCCCGAGACAGGGAGTTCCCTGGACTTCTCGGTACAGGTGGACTTAAGCTAATGGGCTGGAAAAAGAGAAAGGGAGGCTGAATTCCTCACTTGCAGCCAGACCACAGCTTCCTAAGGCCTCAGCCCCCTTCCCTGGCTCATGCTCCCTCCCCCACTCCCTCTCACCAGGATCCTGAGCCCCCAACACAGCTGAGCTGGCCAAAGCTGAGGAGCTGCTAGAGCAGCAGCTGGAGCTGGACCAGGCCCTGCTGGAAGGGCAGGAGGGGGTGGTGGGCCCAGGCTCTGGTGCTCAAGATCCAAAAGCTGAAAAAACAGATGAAGAGGCACTGAGAGAACCTGGGAGCAGACACCCAAGCTTCCCACGGATGCCCCCGGCACCCTCCATCCCTGGAAATACTGCCCACCGCCCCCCACAGGAACCCCAGGATCAGAAACACCCCAGCCTCTCCCAGGCCAGGGAAAGCAGAAGAGACCTCCACGAAGGGTAGGCAATTGGCAGGTAGTTGGGGAGTCAGGGCTCTGCAGTCTTAGTCCCATCCCCCTTTGACCTCACAGCAGGGCACCCAGGCCTTACAGGAATTTACCCTGGACCATGCCCTAAAATAACCTCACCCCAAATACAATAAAATGAGAGAGCACCCACACATAATGCAGATGCACTTGTGTTTCATGTTTAGCTATGTTAAAAATTCTGACAATCAGGAGTGGTGCTGATGCAGAAGTGGGAAACCAGGGGGTGGGGGAAGACGATGTCAGGGGTGGGGGTAGCACGGTCTCCTTCACCGCTACTCTGCTTGCAAAGCTTATATCTTGCACTGAACACCAAGAATGAGTTTTCAGACAATTCCAGCTGAGCGGGACGGGGCACAACTCTTCTGAGAGAGTGCCCCAGCACCCCTCCACCAAGTATTTACTGAAAGGGCTTGTTAAACTAGTAACATCCACTAGATGGCTTTTTGAGGTTGGGTCATGAGATACCTGTGGCCTTGTAAAAGCACTCCAACTGCATTCTCAGGAGGCTGTTTTCAGTGTTCCTTATCACACACTCCACTCCTTGTCCTGATTTCACGGTCAAGGAGTTACATTCTCTTGCACAAATAACATGCACACAGTGCCTCAGTATTTTTCCTTGTCCCGACATCCAATGCCACGTAAGTAAGCTTGAATATGGTGCCATGTACCACCCACACTGCTGTCCTCTCCTGAAGGGCAGATGGTCACATTTCAGAATGGGTGAGTCCCCTATCGTGTCTGTTCAACTGAGGGGAAATGTGGCATGGTCAGAATAAGGCATGAAAAGCTGAAAATGAGACATGAACACATGGCACACATGCAGATGCTGGTGTACTGTGCGGGTTCAGAGGACAGACTTGAGAGTGGGGAAAGAGATGTTGTATGATGAGAGAAGACAGATACCCCACATCAGGGTCAGAAAAAAATCCCAACACAGCATGAAAGACCACAGGCATGAACCAGTCAAGTGTCCATTATGCATGAGGTGCCCATGACCTACATGACAGGATTGAAGACAAACATACTAAGGAACTAGGAGGACCTAAAGGGCTTCCTGAGATCAGCACTCACTGTGGAGGAGATGCCTGTCTCATCAGACAGCTCCTAACACTGACCTCAAGGGGATCTGCCCATACTGAGGATGCTGGTATCATTCTCATCTGATACAAACGTGATGGCCAAGCCATGTGCCATCTGGAAGGAGGCAGAGGATAGGACTAGAAGACTCCAAAGAGGGAAGACTCTCAGAGACAGGGATGAGGATGTAAAGTGTGAAAAGATACAGAAAGTACGGAGGTGGGAGAGTGGGGGTCCCTCTGCATGTGGAGCTCACCTGATGCAGGTAGGTCTCAGAATCTTCAGGCATGTCATAGGTAAAGGCAATGTTCACCTGCTCTGTGTCCATGGCTCAGCTGAATAGGTTGGTAGTCAAAGAATTTGTCTTTAAAAATATTTTGGGGTCATTCTCCAGCAAGTGCAGAAGTATAAAAAAATTTAGTCACCTGAGGTGCATTCCTTGGCTTCCTGGCCAGTTTTCCCAAGGCCTCCACTGCCACCATGCACCCTGGGTGCCCTCCACACTCTCCGAGTGTCCAAATGTGTGTGAGGAGGTTAAGGGCAGGAAGAACTATTGGATCATGGATTGAGGTGCCTTTTCCCACCTCTGGAGGTGGTGAGGTGTGGATTCATAAGCTGGCATTGAAAAGATCACTGCCATTTGTGAATGTTTGTTTGGTCACCAACAGTCATGGCTGAACCCTGAGAAAGAAGAGAAACTTGTCTAAAAAAAGTAATTGTCCTGAGAATAAATCTGTAGAAACACTTGCAGGTTGATCACTAAGATCATCTCAGAGTGTGACATGGGGTCTGGCCCCAGACTCACAGACCTTCTCCAATATGGAAGCAACAACTCCATACCAGCCAGGACCTGAGAACCTCTCCAGGCGCTCAGGGGCCAGCAATTATGCAGCCTGCCATCTGTGCCTGGCACTTTCTTCATATGTCTGGCTGTCCTTGGAGCGCTGAAGTTCAAGGAGTCGGGGCAAGGAGGTGGTGCCCAGGTAAAGCTTGAGTTGCAAGAAGACATGGATATGAGGCCATTGATCATTGTTGCCTGATCAAGGTCTTTGTGCCTTGTGGAGGCAGAATTCACCGCGTGTTAGTTTTTCCTACTGTAATGAATGTGAACTTGGGGTTGATGCACTGATACAATAAGGTTTGCTCTGCTGCAGTAGTGTTGCCTCCGTGTAAGAGAAACAAAGGCTTCAATATAACATCTGCCTGTTTATCTTAGAGCCAAAGGACTAACAGAGCATCTGTGGGAACACAGCGGCACACACCCCAGTCAGGACCCCACAAGGACTGAACCAAATGTGGGGTCATTAGCTTTTCCCGGCCTCAGATAGGAGTCTCACTATGCCTCAGCCATGACTTTCATACCATGTGCATGTGGCAGGTGTCTGTGTGCCCAGCAAGGACACAGTTCAGAGAGCTTTCTTCATTACCTAGGGTGTGTGGTTGGAAAAAAAAAAAAAGTTGCCTACGTCCATGAGGCTCTGGAGGGAAGCATAGAACCTACTACTAAATTCTTCTGGGCTGACCCATTTCAGGCCATGGTTTCCTCTGTATCAAAGTTGCTCTCTCACTGATCTACTGACAGTTAACACAAGAGTGTGTGGAGCAGTAAAACCCACGCCGGCCTGAGAGGGCCCCAGACATGTAATGATGTCTGGTGGCCTTGGCTGGGCTACCCCATGGCTCTTCTCCTTCCTGGGCATTCCCCCCTCCCATCTCACTGGAGCTGTGTCGGGTTCACCTGTCCTCTCTTCTCACTCGCATTCTTCAGAGTGGGGTGCCATGGTGTGCTCCTCTCTCCCCAACACAGCACTGGTGTCCCCTTTGGAGCCTAGTTTCTCTTTTCACCTCCAGGTCTGCTGGGGATGCCATAATTCCAGGAAGTTGTCTGCTGGGCATCCACTATGGTCTCCAGCCCTGGACCACAGGTGCTGTCATATTTTGGGTGGAAAGGAATTTGATTCTTTTCTGGAAAGTAAAGGAAAATAGATGAGGGCAATTAGGTTGCTCTCATGGGAACTTGAAAGACTCTTCCTCTTCCCCCTACTCTAACAAGATAAACGGAGAAAAGGAGCTCCCATTAAGGGAAAACATTGACTCTATCTCTATTGACCCTATCCTTGAAATGGAATTTGGATTCAATTTCAAATTGAAATCATTTTCAGAGGTAGAGTCAAATTCAAATATTGACTCTATCCCTGAAATTAAGTCATGAGCAAATAAGAAATTTATGAGATTCAAACTAAGCCATTTAAGTAAACTATTCCAGAATTTAAAGCTCAGCAATGACAAGATACCAGGAAACAGTGACAATTCTCCCACTCCACAGGTGAGGCCAGTGAGACTGGTCAGGGCTTGCTGCCTGCTGCTTGGTGCTGTCCTGGTACTTTAGAAGCGTCTGTGATTCTGTGAAACTCACCCACGGTGGCCCAACAACTTCCTTTTGCTTATGTGAGCCCGACTCTGCTTTTATGGCTTGTACCCAAGTAATTCAAGTTATTAATTTATGACTTATACAGTCCCATGTGGAGAAAGGGAAGGAGAGTTGGTACTTTTCAATGTTACTACCTGCTAAGCATTTATATGTGAAATGTTGCTTTTTAAAGCCATACTTTTGGATTAAAGCAAACACTCATATATTTAAGTAAATTCTGTGAAGAACGTGAACATTGTAGGTGAGTGCATTATTCTCAGCTTCCATCTCCTCACAGAGCCATCGTCCACTTTATTCCATCCCGTCCCCTGCACTGGGAGGCAACCATGACAAAGGGCACGGCCTATGCTCCTTTGGCATCTGGCTTCTGCTTGGGTTTGGATGATAACAGACACCTCCAGGGGATGGGGGTGTGGGAGGAGAAGTAACTCAGGGTTTTCATTCCCTCACTCCCTCTGGGCAGCTGTGGTTCTGTAATCACTTCAGGCCTCTACCTACAGCCCCAGGGATGCGGGACTATCCCTACTGAAAGCTGCAGGTTGGCCTGAGTTTTGGAAGTTGCTCCCTTCCTTGCTCTTTCTAGCTCAGAGTTGCAGTTTCCTGCTACAGATCATCCCAGGGAGCTTCAGCGCCCCCTTGTGGCTTTCTTAGCCCTGCCAGCACCTCTGTAATATGTGTCTTCCTTCTGCCTCATCTCTTTCCTGCCAGGACCCGGACCACAGGGTGTTCCCACAAAAGAAGTGACAAGAATTTATTTATGGAATAACACATCTATTCACAATGTTAATTCAGTTTGTTTTGGTAGAGACTGGATCTTGCTATGTTGCCCAGGCTGGTCTTCAACTACTGGACTCAAGCAATCCCCTTGCCTCAGCCTTCCAAAGTACTAGGACTATAGGCGTGAGCGAGTGTGCCCAGGACTTAATTCAAAAATCTGACTTACTACAATGAAAGGGAAGCAATAGAAGCATTTTGGAAATGGAGCAGGAAAGAAGGCAAAGGTGGGAAAGATCAATCTGTGTCATCTGAAAAGCCCCAACGTGCAGAGGCTGTCCCGAGTCTTTAGGGGACAGCAACAACAAAGCACACAGGATGCTAGTGTCAGGGACAGAGTGTGGCCACGGCAGGATGATAGCGGCTCTCCTATGAAATAATGCTCATATACATCCCTTATGAGAAGGATCAGATCAACATATAAAAATATGCCAAACAGTGTGAACTCAAGGCAGGAGTGGGACTGGCCATTCTCAGCCCTTGACCTCCATGGACTTGGAGAAAGGCTCAGCCTGGAGATGTGTGAGGCCTCCGACCTGGAGCAGCACCAGCCCCTAAAGACCAGGCACAAATCCCAGCACATGGAGGGATCCAGACAAATACACAAGAAATGACCACAGCGGGAGCTTTACTGAGCACAGAGGGATGCCGTACACCACTCAGCACCTGCCCTCCACCTGCCCTTCTCTCCCCAGCACAGCAGATCCTCAGAATCCGAAAAGAGATCCTAACCTCCATGTTTTATTAATGGCTTATAAAGTTTTATGGCATCTTCCATCAATGATATGCAGAAGATAGCTGTAGAGCAACACATCTATTTAGGGTGAGTGAGTCACAGTGGAAATCTGGGAGGGGGACCCTGTAACCCTTTCATTCCAAGAAAGGAAATGATGGTCCTGGGAGAGATCCCAGGCCTGGATATTGGGATTATGTGGAAGGGGTTCTGAGGCATCAGGGGCACGGGCCTTACTCCCGCCATCCTCCCTGTGCTATGCTTGGGAGGAGACAGAGCTCATCAGCTGCGCAGCTCGGGGAAGAGAAGGCAGGGTGTACACAGAGACACAGGGAACTGAGAACAATCTGTTTCTTGCTGGTCTGTACAAGGCGGCTTTCAACTGTGGAGAACACGTTAATGACCAGATTCAGCTCAGCCACTCTCAGCCTTGACACCCTGAGCACTAGGGCAGCCCATCACCATTCCCTACCTTCAAATCCAAAGATCCCCTATAGCCCCAAGCTGCTCCTCGTCCTCAACTCCTGTCGGCATCAGGTCCGAGGGATCATATTTCAGCAAGATGTGAGAACCACATCAGTGTCCAGGATCCTGTCACCACCTGGAGAATGACAATAAAAAGACCCAGCAGAGCCTGCAGAAGGAGACTGTATTTGAGGTAGGACCATGGGATAGGCGAGGAAAAGGACTGTGGCTCCATTCTCTCTATTCCAGGGGTTAGAGATGGGCTGCTCCTGCTGCCCCTTCCATGCTGCTCTTTATAGTATAGACCCCTCCTGAAGTTCTTTTGAGGACAGAAGACCCTGTTAGGTGTCATGGTACAGAGGGGTCCTGAGGGCGTTGGATACCTGGTTAACATTGCTACTTAGCTGAGATTAGGAAGGTAAACCCAGGATGCAGGAGAGGAGGAAGAGCCAGCATGGGACCCTGCAGTCACCCTCCTGGACATCTGTTTGCAGGGAGGGTCTTTCCTGCAGGGTTGGGGCACCCAGTATTGAGGTCCTCTGTGTATGGCTACCCTGCTGTTCTTATCTGTGAATGGGGCCAGACCCATTTCTTCCTCCAATAAAACAACCAGGGGAATCCATCGACAAAACACCTGCTAGCTTCACATTAATCCTGTATCAGTTTGATTTAATATTTCATATCTTATAATAAATGAAAAGGAAGGATGATCTCTTTGGTAAAAGTGATTACGATTCCTGGGGCCCTGGATCCCTTATCTCACTCTTTAAAATTCTCATGGAGGATCAGGGGAGTACAGAGCCCAGAAACAGTCATGAGGCCTGAAGCTCCCTGGTGTAAAGGACCCTCCCCTGCACCCTGCGGCTCAGAGCAAACAGCACAGTTGACTCCCAGAGTCTCCAGCCTCCATCCTCTAATGTCAGACTGAACTTTCCCAGCCTTCCTGGCTGCCAAGCTTCTGGTTCCCAGCAGCCTCCTCTCTCACCCTTCACCTCTTCTGATCGGGGCCGTTGGCCACTTGACAGGCAGTGCCCTCCTTGTTAGTCTGCCTGTTTGCCTGGTTCCCTCTCAGGGTCTGTGGCTTGACTGGGTTCACCATCTCCAGCCCCACCAGGAACAGGAAGAAGTGACTGGGCAAATCCCCCAATAGCAGTGGGATCCCTACACATGAGATGGGGCAAAACCATCATTCTAGTGCCTCCCATACCTGACAACTTCTTGCACATCACAGTTCCAAGAACTAGAACAGGAAGTAGCTCTAAGTCAGAAATGGTTTCCATGATGATTAGGATGAGCTGGGAAGGGGGTTCTGAGAAGGGAATGAAAGGAGTCTCAACCTTCAGATCAAAACTCTGACCCTGTCACAGGGTCCAGAACAGCTCCTGCTTGCCAGTTCTGTGAAGGGGTTTCCATCTTATACCCATTTGTACTCATCTCAGTATAAGAGGCCTGAACAGCCCCTTATGCAGCACACAGCACAGCGATTCCTGCTCCTCCCCAGAAGCCACCAGCACAGCCACCCACTTCTAGAAGGTCCCATTCCCCTGAGGCCCGGGGTCCCCATGCTATACGTCCTGAGTGTGGTCTGCCCTCCCACAGTCAAATCAGCGTGATCTCTGCTGGGTAGAATCCCTGGGCCCGGCACCTCAAGGTGACCTTCCCATTAGGTGATGGGTCACAAGTGCTGATGGCTGCTCTGAGGAGAGTCTCAGAGGTGGAAAAAATTTAATGAGAATCCCAGCTCTCGGCCTCCTTGCCAGAGGTCCAGCAGAAATTTTCAAAGTTAAAAGTGGATTCAGGATAAACAGTTTACCTAATCTCTAGTGCTCTCTTTCTACACATGTGTCTTATTGTCTGTGAAGCCACTATTATGCTTCTAACATTGATGATATTATTTTTCAGTTTTAAAATGTCTATGATTTTTTTTCTAATTTGCACTCAGGTTTTGCAACCTTTTGATACTATCTGTTACATTGTGATGTTAGAAACTAGCAGTCGTTTGTGGTACTTTCATGCACTGTGTCTCTGCTGGTTCGGTTTCCTGGCATTTTATCTTCTGGTTGTGTTAAAGGTAATCTCTAATTGTTGGGCACAGAAGACCAGGGAAGAAAAAGATCCCCCGGTGAAGTACACCACTACTGACAAACACATCACTGTTGACAAGGGGAACTGCTGTCCTTTCCTAGTTCCCTCCCTGCACTCCTCCTCCCTGTCCCTTCTCCCCACCCACCCTCAGGACAGCCTCAGGAGCCTGAGCAGAATCCCCAGACCCACAACAGAAATGCTGAGGAGGAGGAGGAAGGGGCACGATATGGGCCTCCTTCCCTCTTATAGGGACGTCTCCCGGTAACATAATTCCAGCTTCAGGAGGTCCTGACGTGCGGCCCCGAGGACTACAGTACCTTCCAGCAGCACCGTCTCCTTGCCATGCTCCGGGCTTCTGCGCCTAGTGTAGTGACCCATTACCGGTTCCCTCGCAGCCTCCGTGATTCAGAACCTCTCCCAGGTGCGCTTGATCCTCTGAGCAGCAGATCGCGCCGCTGTCCAGGTCTTTACGTCTGGTTCAGGGACATTATTCCCTGTCGCAGGGGGCTGAAAGTGTCCCCCAAGGAAGTTCTCAACTGGTGTCACCATGCAGCCAAGCAGCAACTGCAGGTGCGGGGCTCTGGACCTGTCCATGGGTCAGCCCAAGGCAGGGCTGGAATCCCCGCTTCGCCCCGCACACCTCAGCACCTCCCTCCCTCTGTGATTAGTCGCAGCAGAAGTCATTCACCAACCAGACTTAAGGCGAAACCTGGAGCAAAATTTCCCCAGTGCTTCCACACCCGTGAGGAGTCAGCTGACGCCCCGGCCCCTCCCAATGGGGTTGGGGGGACACCTGTGCCCCGAGCCTGACGTCACTCACCGGCTGGCCCTGGTGGGTGGTGCCGGCCCAGGAACCCTCAGTAACACATTCCCTGCGGTCATCGAGAACTTTCCTCAGGGCGCCCACAGTCCTATCCCATCTTCTCCACCCGCGGCGCCCGCAGCTTCACACTCTGATCCTCGTTGCGGCTGTGGAAGCGCAGAAACCGCGTGTCTTCCACAAAGGCGCCGCTGAGGATCCCAGGGCTCGCGCGGTGGAGGTGGAGTCCGGTGGCCTCCAAGTACCCGGGAATGCGGGGCTGGACCCTGGGAAGGGGCACATTGGGGGCGGGAGAGGCGCAGGGAGCCTGGGACCCTGGCCCACATCTCTGGGGTCCCCATCCGCCACCTGTCTCCGCGACGTGCTCGCTCCGCCTCCCTGCCAGGACCCAGCCTCCTGGGCTCCCTCCCACGTCCCAGGCCCTGGAGCTGCTCACCTAGGAGCTTCTTACTGTGTGGGAGGAGCTGGGGAGGGGACAAAGGAACGGGGACCAGGGGAGGGTGGCGTGGGGCATCGGCGCCTGGAGAAATGACCTGAGGAGTCTGCAGACGCCGGCTCTGGGCGAAGGCGCCACGGCGGAAGCTGCTGAGCCCTGAAGGTCGCCCTTTCCCTCCTGCCTCCTCAGCCCCAGTTCATCCTGATCCTCTCCTCACCAGCCCAGGTCTCCCCAAGGTCAGGGCCCACAGAGGAGCAGGGGTGGGGGGTTCCGGGACGCGGCATCCGGCTTCTCTGGTTATCTTGGAGTTCAGGGAGAATCGTGGAGATCTCCCACTTTATGAAGCCCTTTCTCCACTCACTCTGATGACTTCTCTAGACCCCAGTGGAAACCAGATACAACGCCCTCATCAGTCCTGGGGGAAAAACAAGAGCAAAGTATGAGAGGTGGCCATGAGGTCCGGGAAACTCCTGCAGAATTCTCAGGCGAGGAAACTCTTCAGAGCTGGGTCCTTGGCTTAGTTTGTCTTGCCTGCCCAGCCACCTGTCCCAGAGCTGGAGATACTCAGGTTTAAGCCAGAGACTTTGGATATCTTCCTTGATGGTGACATAATTTTTGTCTTCTTCTCTCCTGGAAGGGGAACCCCAGAACCACCAGAGTGATCCACTCTGCCCTCTCTTCTTAATCTCCTGTCTCTCCAATCTCTCTCCCTGAGCTGGACTCTCCACCCACCCGCACATTCTGGATAATGCAGAGACGTGAGCATGACCCCGGGTCAGGATTGTCTGCATGCAAACCCAGCTCCACCGTGGCGACCTTCATTCCTATTGTATCACCTGAAAACGGAAAGCACCCCATACAGATGTGAGAATTACATGAATTCGTATTTTTAAAGTGCTGAGGACACAGACTAACACATAGCACCATGACAGTGTATGATATTATCACTGTTGCTATGTATTTAGTCCTTTTTGCCCAAGCCTCTTCTCTTCCCTCTGGGTTCCCAGAGAATTCTCTGTTGGAAGATTATGTCTGCAAGAGACCTCCACTGGGAGAATGCTAGCCTGTGGTGGGATCTTCCTTTTATTAAATGGAACAATTGTTGGTGGATCGACAGCTAGTGAGCCAGTGACAGTACAGTTCATGTTTGAAAGACCACATACTTAGGATTAACTTCATTTTAATAAAGGCACATCCCACACATTGTAAGTCCAATGTCATTTGTGAGGAGATTGGTTTGATTGGGTCATGGGAATATCACTCTACTTTCTTTGAGAGAGTTTTGCAACACATTTCAAACCTCTGCTTCTCATTTCACACTATTTGGCTCACAAATGAAGGTGAAGAGAAGTGTCTTCATACTGTGCACCCAGGTTTGTCTATCAGAGCCATAGTACACATAGAGATTATTTTCTTATGTTATGATTTATATATATATATTATACTCATGGAATAAAGATAGATATTATTACAGTGCTTAAATGGCTACTACTGGTATCTATGCATTTTCTCTCTTGGCATATGACATTAACATATAGAATTGTACAGTGTACTTTGGCTTTCAGCAATAGCTGATTAGGTCATTTGGACCAGCTCTCCCATTGAGTACCACTGGAAAAGTGGGAGGAAAATACATATTTGAAAAGTCTGCTTGAATTTATAGATGGGCCAGCAAAGCAGTGAAGATTTGCCAGTTCAGGAACCAGGAAGAGGCAGAAATCCAGAAGAGCACCTTGAGCTGTGGGGTGCTTTTGTGGGCCAGATGCAGTGACACCTGCCTCCCAGGCAAGAAGCCAACTTCTGGGATTCAGAACTAAAGTGTCCCAATACTTAGAAGGTCTCTTGGTCTCTCTAGAATTCAGTGCTCATTGGCCAGGGCTATGATACTCACACTCATTCCTTGGAGGAGCCAAGCTTCAGGTTTGGCTGCCTCTGGGACATTTCATGCTAGAAAAACCCCAACAGGTGTAGGTAAAGGGTGTAGAGGACACCAGCCACCCTTCCATGGAGCTCTGCCCAGTGGTCTCCCCTCACTTCCACTCAGGGACAACATGGCCATTTGGCCATTTTGCTATTTTACTAAATTCATGGGGACATGGCCAACGTAAGTAAGAGAACACTGGGAGGTACCTTGGACAGAGTTCCAGGCAGTCACAGCGTTTGGGTCTCTGTGTCCTTTCCCTTCATCTCAACCAAAGAGCATTTGTGGAGGCTGAAGAACAAAAGACTTTAAATATCAGAAGTGAATCTAGGACCACTGATCCATTGTGGTCAGGAGGCTGGAGCCATGTGGTCCAGCAGTAATTAAGTCTATGAGTCCTTGGTCACCCCAAGGCTCTCCCCAATTAGGAGCTACCTCTCACTGCTGTCAGGGACGCCAGGAGCTGGATATGACCTTCTTTTTTATTTTTTTTTATCATTTCTGATAAGAGCATATAGACCTTGATCAAAATGGGGCCAGAGTGGAGTCAGGCAAAACTCTGCAATGATTCAGAGGCACCTAAGTGTAAAATAATATCTCAACTCAGAGCTTCCATCAGAGCATCAGGCTCCGTAGTTCCTGTATTTGCACTGTGAGAACTGGGGCTTGATGAGAGCAGAAGTAGTTACATGTGCAGAAAAGCATATGTAGTTAGAAACCTGGGTCATGATTCAAGGCGTGGGAGGGCCCTTGCCTTTTCCACGGTAGAAAGTGGGGCTTTCTGTCATCTTGGTTCTGATGGGCCAAGTGCAGAAGATAAACCTTCCTGCTTTCGGCTGAGTGACTGGCAATAGAAGCTGGAGTTAAGAGAATCAGTGGCAGCCTCTCTCTCTCCATGCCCCAGCCCAGTAAATCTAAGCCAGGACTTGAGGCTCTGGCACTTTCTTCTCACTGTGCGCTCTCCTTCTCTGGCTCAAAAGAGAACCACATGTAACAGAAACCAAGGGCTACAATTCTCATAGAACCCAGAAAACTGGACTAGGGACCTGGAGAGTCGTGTGCCTGTCATTGCTCCTCCACTCAGGTGCTGTGTGACCTCAGGAGAAGCTCTCTATTCCTAGGGCCTCTTTGATACATCTGTGAATCACGGACAAAATCCTCCATTCTAGCAACATTACTGAAATGCAGGGAGGAACAAGTGATCAATGAGGAGGAAAACAGCAAAGTGATGACATTTACTCCTAGACAAAACTTTTTAGGAGAATGTACCTTAAAGGAAGGAGAAAAACATATAGTACCTGTGATCCCCTGCCAAAAAAAGGCTGTTTAGTTTACTAATTGTAATTGTTCATCATCTTTCTGTAAAGTTTGGGCAAAACTAGCTCCCTCAACATTTCAAATAAATTAAATACAGTCGGTGATTCTATGTCAGTTTAGGTCTACAGCTTTTCCTTTGTGTGAAACCGAAGGAGAATGGGAACGTCTTCATTTTCTGTGGTGGCCAGGGGACCCTCAGAAGCTTGAAAATGACCTTATATCATCCATTTTCAATTGACTCACTCTATCCTCTCTATCCTTTGGAATACCAGGTAATTCATACTCTTAAAAGATCTCATGTTCCTAGACATGATAGGTTAGAAAAGGTAATATTTCTGTTTTAATTTGATAGGGCTGCCATAATAATGCACCAAATGCTGGGTGACTTAAGTAATAAATGTTTATTGTCTCACGATTCTGGAGGCTAAAGGTGCAAGGTCAAGGTGCTGCAGAGTTTATTTCTTCTGAGGTCTCTTTCCTTGGCTTGTAGCTGGCCACTTCTCCTTCTGCCTTCTCAAGATAGGGTTTCAACATATGGATTTTGGTGGCATAGGTACATGATTCTTCTTCTAATGGTATGGATCATCTTTGGCTGTGGATAGTCTAAAGTCTAAAAGACAGTACATCGCTTTGGCTTAACTGTTTCTCTTGGTTTTCTGAAATTTTGGTCTTACAATAGAAACAAACAAGAAAGAGAACCGAAGTCTAATTCTTCCTGGAAGGTGAACCTCCTCTCTAACTCTGGGTTATCCCAGACACTAAGACGTGGTGCTGCGCAGCTCCCCAAGGTCCTACTCACTCTAATGATTCTGTTTCTGTCTTTTTAACTGGGAAGAAGAGTCTCTCTCAGGAGAGTAACCTCTTCTGATGCTGTATGGGCTTTATTCTCCTTAAACTTAAAGAATGTAAAAGATCTTAATAAAAAGGAAACTATTAGCCAAATTTTTATCACACTCATAATTTTTGTACCTTTTAAAATGCCCCATATTGTGTTGAGTTTATTTTTAAATATGCTTTATTGGTACATAATATTTGTACATATTTATGAGGTACATGTTATCATTTGATACATGCGTAGAATGTGTGTATAATAAGTCAGGATATTTAGGGTATCCATCACCTCAAGCACTTATCATTTCTTTGTGTTGGGAACATTTTAAATCCACTATTATAGCTATTT